CGCAAAGGATGGGTTTATATTCATGGATGTCACCAACAGGCATTAAGTGATTATCATGTAATAATCCTTTATTTACTTCTCATCAAGGAAAGGTCACATTAACAGCAAATGCACAAATGAAGATGAACATGTTTGTAACATGGGGCAATATATTGCTGGAAGTTGCCATCAGAAGATGGGTCCACACTACCAACAATACTCAGGTAGGCTGTGGTGTTTAAACCAGGCTCAGGTGGTACTAAGGGATCCAACGTGGGACAAGAACATCTCACCATAATCAGTACTTTTAAACCACCAGCAGCATCCTGAACTGTTTAAACCAGGCAGGATGGATCCATGCTTTCCTGTTGGTGACACCAAGTTCTGACCCAACCATCTGAATCTTGCAGCTGAAGTCCAAATTCATCAGACCCAGGAATTGTTTGTCCAGTCTCTCAAGAGTTTTCTTTTTTTCCCATGTGATAACCTTTTCCCCTCTTCAATTATTTTTCAATATTTTTGTATCTAAAGATTGACTTTCTTCCCATTTAAAAATGTTTTAATATAATTGTTCAGATTTAAATTGTGTTCTTGTGATGTGCATTGTGATTTTTATTTTAGGATGCACTGTATGAAAATTGTTTCTTCTTCTTTACTATTAATTTACATCAGTCTGAATGTGTCTAGAGTTGAGACCACACCACACAGTTGTAAAAACATAATTGCACAAGAAAAAACAACAGCACAATTATATTCCTAAGCAACAATTTTTCATGAGAAAATATAATTGCATTTGAATTAAAAACAGTGTGTAATTGTTAAAGACTATGTTGAAAACCTTTTTTTATTCTCTGTCATATAACTCTGTGAGATGACTGGCATGATCTGTTTTGTGTATTTTTACTTAGTTACATTGTTGCTGTTTTGTGTCTTTTTACTTAGTTGCATAGTTGCTATTTTGTGTCTTTTTACTTAGTTGCATTGTAGCTATATTGTGTCTTTTTACTTAGTTACATTGTTGCTGTTTTGTGTCTTTTTACTTTGTTACATTGTTGCTGTTTTGTGTGTTTTTACTTAGTTACATTGCTGCTATATTGTGTCTTTTCACTTAGTTACATTGTTGCTGTTTTGTGTCTTTTTACTTAGTTACATTGTTGCTGTTTTGTGTCTTTTTACTTAGTTGCATTGTTGCTATATTGTGTCTTTTTACTTAGTTGCATAGTTGCTATTTTGTGTCTTTTTACTTAGTTGCATAGTTGCTATTTTGTGTCTTTTTACTTAGTTGCATTGTTGCTATTTTGTGTCTTTTTACTTCGTTGCATTGTTGCTATTTTGTGTCTTTTTACTTTGTTACATTGTTGCTATTTTGTGTCTTTTTACTTTTTGCATTGTTGCTGTTTTATCGCTTACTGAGGATTTTTTGTGCTGTTTTCTTTCTTTTATATATGTCTGTACAGAACTATGGTGATATGAGTTTGTATGAAAACTGTTGTATAAATAAAAGTCTAGTCAAGGTTATTTGTTTTGGTTTTGGACGTTTATGTCAGATATTTATTTATGTTGGCCTCATCAGAGCCCACTCATACAGACACATTTACTCTGCTCACTGAAACATTCCAAAGCTGCTTTATCGCTCTGTGTGGATGGCAAATACATTTTACTAACCCCACATCTTCAGCCACATTCAAATCAGCAGTTTGTCAGTGCTTCTCTTTCTCAGTCATGTGTGCATGTAACAAAAATCAGCTTCATTTCTTTTTCAAATGATTGATTTTAGTTAGTTTTATTTTATTTTATTTTTTTGTAAAAATGAATGAAACAGTATGAATGTACTGCTGCATAACTAAAAACATCTCAAATCCAGTACACAGGAAAGACGAGTGTTTTTATTTGCAAATTTCAAACAACCTTCATTGACTGGATCCAGTAGGAACTCATTCAAACATAAACCCAGATGAGGATAAGGCAGGTAAAACCAGGATATAACATAAGGTAGTCAGCAAGTTTATAAAAGGAGGCAGGATGAACTTCAGGGTAAACACATACTAAACCAACAGATACAATGACTCGACAGAGCAAAGAAAACCAAACAGGATACATGTTGAGGATCTGATGACTAACCAACAACAAGTGAGAGAGGCATTTGACAGATGAATACAGGCTTACTCACTTACACCTGATTAAACCTCTTTCTTAAACGCTGTAATGTTTCTATATCAACACACACCTGCTGCCAAAAGAGTTGCTTTATTCTCACATCAGCAAATTAATTCATATCAAGACCTGATTATGATTTGTGCATGCAAGCAACAATGGTGATTTAAACTTTAATGCAGCGCTTTTTCTACTTTGCCTAGATTTTTGAGCTTTTCATGTCAGGATCTTCTCCCACTGATGTGTTGTCCCCTTTCCCCTCTTTAAGTGTTGATTAGACTCACCTGCCCCGTGTCACCCTACCCATCGGATTCCTTATCTCATGTTTTTAAACCCTCTGTTTATGCTTGTCTTTGTCAGATCCTTGTCATGTTTTCCTGCTGTATCACCCTACCTACCATTATTCCTATTCAACAGTTCTTTGCCTGCTGGTTTGCCTCCTGTTCACCTGCATTTGGGTCCTACTGCAATCACCACCACTTTATTAAAGAAGGATCTGACCAGACCGGAGCTCCTACTATCCTTCAGGATGACCTCCTTGTTTTTCACGGTAACAGTAGGACCAAGATTTTTTTGAAGGGTTGGACCCAACGCACCCTAGCTGATCCCGGGTGGTTGGACACTTTTCTCTGCTCCTCTGGTGCTCACCCTCATCGAGTACCTGCCGTTGGTCCCTGAAGATCCCCGTTGAGTACCTACGATGTTCCCTGCGGCCCACACTCTTCTCCAGCCATCTCCAGCAGCTTCGCCTCTGAGATCCAGTTGTTGCCAGAGTCTTCATTTGGGCTTCCACTGTCCAGTGGCTCTGGCCATGCCGCGTACCAAGAGGTCTCAGCTTATTGCCTGGTCCTGTGGGTCCTGCTGTAAGGTCTCTGGGGTTACTTCTATCTGTGGAGCTCCAGCATCCTGGATTTTCCTGGCCCACCCCTTTTATTGTTTGATCCTGGTATGGGCATCGAGAGCCGTAAGGGTTTTTTTTTTTTGTCAGGATCTTCTCTTTCTCCCTCTGATGTGTTTACCTGTCTCCCCTTGTTAAGTGTTGATTGGACTCACCTTGTTATCCCTCCTGATTACCCGTATGCATTTAAACCCTTTGTTTGTACTTGTCTTTGTCAGATCCTCCTCTTGCATTCCTGTTGTATTACCCTACTGACCATAACTCATATTAAACTCTTCTTTGCCTGCCAGTTTGCCTCCTGTTCCTGCTCACCTGCATCTGGGTCCTACTTCAACCACCACTAATACTACATCATATTTCATGCATTCAGATTTATTTGCATTTACTTTACGTAGAATTTTTGCCAAGGCCAAGAAAATAATTTGTATGATGCCTTGGTACATACAAGTTACAACTAAATGAGGATATAGTTATTAAATATCACAGATTTTAATTTTCTGTTAATATTTTAACCATGTTTGTTCCGTCAATGCTGGAAATGAATGGTTGTATAATGGAAATCGTTACTCGGTTGTTTAAAACTCGTGAATATCATGCATCTTCACGAGTTTTAACACAAAGGATCAGTAATTAGTCCATCAGAGAGACAGCTCATGTCAGATGTTTTGGAGATGACGTCAGAGACGCCAGACTGAGATGATTTGGACATGACCGAAAGAGCTGATAAAAAGACCAAAAAGGAGATTTATGGTTGCAAAGAAAAAAGACATTAAGTTAGTTGTGAGGATGAAGAAGATAAGACTAAATGGTGCCTGATTTGCTGTGGCAACTCCTGAAGGAAAAAGCATACTTTCATATTAAAATGATTTACAAGAACTTGATTTGTACATATTAATAGACTACTATGATGGAATAAGTTCAAATTATGTTAAAACGACTGATAATCAAACTTAAAGTTACTTTTAACCTGGATGGATCTTTAAAGCTCTGTCACCAGTAGCCAAAGACAGTTTATTACAATGTCTTAAGCTGAATTAATGCTAATTACCAAACAGATAACACAGTTTGAGATAATAAAAATTATAATAGTGATCAACATTGTGATTCCTAATGAGCTACTAGCTAGAAAAGGTTGCATAAAAAAGTGGATAGGTTCCATTGCCGGTGCATTTTTAAACGTAGGCTATTTCAGAGACTGCATGTGTGCAACCATCGTGTGCAACAGATAATTTCTTAGATCTTCTATTGCCTCCTGCACACTTTCTTAATATTTTAAAGCAGAGACTGCACACTGTTGTGAAGCATTGGACAGAAAATGACTGAGCCAAAGTATACATAGAAAACATCAAAGCCAAGAATATGGTCAACATGTTCATTTATTGTTGTGTCACGACTTTGTATTGTTTTTAACCTTCTGGGCCACCCAAGGACGTAATTTTCACTTTAGAAGTGTGTGTGTGGGGGGGGTGGGGGGGGTGGGTGGACACAGGGGGGGGGGGGGGGTATCTTTACAATATGTTCTAATGGGAAACCGGCTTCAACACAAACAGTTGCTTTCCGCTTGGTCGTAGAGCTCAACCAGTGTCAATTTAATATAGTGTAATATTGTTTTTGGATGGTAAAAAGTGCAGGGGTCAAAACTTGAGTTTGGAAAAAGTGGGGGGGACATGCCCCCCCCCCCAAAAAAAGAATACGTCCATGGGGCCACCGTAAACAAACAGTAATCAAAAAGTTAGTTTTCCAAACGGAAACTATTTGATAATTACTGTTACATAACACCCGCATACACACTTATGGATGGCAATTATAATGCAGCTATATCCGACATAAACAGAGTCCCCCAGCTGAAACGGGTCTAGTTTAAGCACGCGCTCGAGTGAGCGCACGCGAGGGCATCCCCGCAGTTATGGGAAAGCCGCGCGCTCGCCTTGTATTTATTTATTTATTTTTAAAAAATTCTCTCTTCGAGCCCATCAGAGGGAGGTAGAGAGAGGCTGGTTCGAGGCTTCCGGCTTCAGACTAGCAGACACACAAAAAGCCTCACTACTCAGAGAGGTGTCGAACAGCGCGTGACATCAGACATCTCTACCCCCCAGGAAAGCTGCTCGTGGCCGGGGAGAGCTGAGGGAGCTGACCGCTGAACGGGCACGGAAGTTTACCGAAGTAGCACGCTTATGCTAGCTGAGGAGAGAATGGGGACTGAAATCATTTGAAAATAAGCAGAAAGGGGAGGCAGCCTGCTGCGTGAAACTTAGAAAAACCGCACAAGTAAACAAAAAGATGGGGCACGAGCCGCGCGACGACTGACACCCATCAGACACAAAGAACCGGGTTGGGTCCAGTGCAAGAGGACGGGACGGGGCTGAGGTGAGTCAAAACCGGGCCAGCACCCACATATTTACTGTCTATTGTTTATTACACCTTACAGCGTCGCTCCTGGAGCTAATCCTGTTAAGATGTTAGGCCAAAACATTCCTAAAATCATAGTAGGAGTCAAACTATGAGAGTATAATTTTAAAAGAGTTTATTATGCAAAGTATTTCTTCATTGAGTATGAGACAAATATACCCTTTAAACTGTAGGTGTTTGGGTTTTCCCCCTGGATTATAACTATGATCTGTCTTATTGTCATTTGATCAAACTGTACATGGGGCATGCATTATTTTGTCATTTAGAGGATCATTTAATCCAAATACTCATTAAAAATCCCTCAGAATTAGTAAACACGCCTGTCAGTTCATCTAATCTAGTTTATAAATAAATTAAAGCACTAACCAGTTGACTATTATATTGAAATATATACCCCATATTTACCCCAAATGCCCCATTTTTGAAGCACAAATTGACTTTGACTCCATATTTCTTTCCAATAACTGTGCAAAACTTTGGACTTATTCGAATTTATTTTAAAAGTACATCTTAATAATGTGATGACGCCTCAAAATGTTTCAAAAAACGATTACTCACGAAACTAACTGCTGATTCTGTAGACCGACTTAAGTGATAATTATGCCGACAGATCGCTCTCACCTCCTCATAAACCTTTTTCTTAGATCTTCAGGTGAGACGATGAGCTCCAAGCGTTCCATCTGTTACAAATGAGGGATGAAATCTGTTATAGTTTAAATTGTTTTAAATTTTCATTATATTTATATGTTTATGGTTAAGCAAAGATCTTTATTAGGAAACATGTAAATTATGTCTGTGTGATTTACATAAAATATTAAGAATTAACTTATAAATTCATGTATAGTACGTCATAAGATTAATTCTGAGTCACGTTTGAAAGTGATGCAACAAAAAACTGAAAGTCTAGCATGTTACCAATAGATTATTTGTTGTAATTAACATTTTCCTGGCATTCACTATCTGTGTCCCTTTTGATCTTCTTTATAAGATGTTGTTTAGTTTTGTTTCTGCATACATGTGGAGGTTTTTGTTGCCCACTTGTGTAGGCAAGCGGCTGGTTTGGAATTGGACGCAGTCCCACTCAATCTGATTAAATAGGAAGCGTACGCGCCGCTCTGAAGTGCACCGAAGGCAACACAAAAACAAGCTTTGCAGGTTTTAATGGTTTCCAGAAGGCAGAACATTTGTTAATAGCTTCAAGGATTGATCTGTCATACAAGGATCATTCTTCTCTAGCAACGAATGCTTTTTAGGAGATTCTGCTAATAGAATATGAATCCCTGCTTGGATCTGAATGGGATTAGCATAATATTAATGGGAGACATGTTAAGTAAACAAATTTTTGTCCAGATTTAGGCTCCAAAAAATGTATTAAACACCAACTATTAATAAATCTTGCTTTTTGAAAACCCTTTCTGAAGACCAAACTCAAGCATCCTGCAGTGTTTTAAAAAGTCAATGCAGGTACAAGTGGCAGAATGAGGGCAAAACACACCTCTGGTGTTATTTTATTATTCTCAATACAACCCCTGCACGCTTTGTGGCAGTGACTGGCGGCCAGTGATATTTTTACATATTATTTTAAAGATCCCGTTCATGATTTGGTGTAGCTAATGCTAATGGTTCGCTTCTTCTTGCCAAGATGCGCGCTGCTTGGTCCTGGCCGTAAAATGAATTCAGTTTCTGAGTGAATGAGACCTTAAACGCATCAGTGCTTTTAAAAAAATCTGTTTTGTTTGGACTATTTGGACATCTAGGCTCCCATAGCAGCTCTTCTCTGCTTTTTTAACAAATTTGAGCCATTGCACCACTTAGACAATGAAGCTGTTTCCTAAAGTGCAAAAAGGGTCAGAACTGTCAGCTCCCCTGTGTGAACATGGTTCCCAGTGGCCGGTAGCGCCTCATCACAAACTCTCTGTTTGACAGAGAGCAAATCCGCTGCTTCTGCATGAAAGGCTTCTAACAGACAGCTAAGCCAAAATAGCCTCTGCACACCTTTCTTTCCAGTCCAGATTGTCTGTCTCCTTCCCCTCTTTCATCGTCTTTTTTAGTTACTTTCACAGAAACTTTCTGATCCATCAAACAAGAGAGCAGAAACAATAATGCGGCGTGAGCAGAAAGAAGCCACCCGAGAGACGAGGCTGCTAAGTTTATTTTCTGTTTCTAACCAACTGCGTCACTCCCCAATAAGGAAATCCCATGTTTACCCCCGTGGTTCACCACCTGAATGCTTTCTGTTATCTGGAATCAGAAAGCACACCAAGGCCGAGTCTGGCTGTTGGACAGGGATACTGGCATGTAGGCCCAGGAAGTGAACTGGAAAAGATTGGAAAAGTATGCGATTTCTAGGAAGAAAGGCTTGGCTTTAGCATCACAGTCCATTCCATTTCAGCTTTGAGAACACTTTTTTTGTGCTAAAGAGGAAAACAAAAACAAGCAACGTTGTGCTTGAGTTCTGATTAGTTTATTTTTTTTTTAAAATGGGCTGCCACAAAAAAGCCTGTGATCATTTGCAGCTCTGCACAGCAGGACCGATTTCACTTAAAGGGGCATTATGGAAGTGTGACAGCCAAAACATGTATAGAAATGATAAATGTCTTCTTCATACATTCTCCTGCAATGCCCTGGTCCTGTAGAATGAGCCCTGGCATTTTTACTGTGATTGCCTGTTTTTCTGTAAAATCACAGAAAAAGAGAGATGCTCGGGTCGAGCAGGCTGCTTCATGCGCGTTCACGCTCAGGCATCGCCCGTAGCATTTGCTATCCGTAGCTTTAGCAGCAGAGAGAGAGGCAGTGCCACTTTGTCGCTGTTCCTAACGCCTAGTGACAAAGCTAGCTACATTTCTGAGGACCCTTAGCTACTTTCTGTAGAACTTTCTTCTAGATATTTCCTGCAAATTAGCAACAAAATAGCCATTTTCACTCCGAACCGTTCTTTGGTTTGACGTTGTTTCAGCTGTCATCAAGGATATAAACGTTACAGATACTGTGAATGTTACTAGAGTGTAGCTCACCTAGAAAGATGTCTGACTCTCATGCAGAGGACCTGGGTTTGATTCTGGACGTGAACATAGTTGATTTAGAGTTTCTTTTTTACATTAATGATATATTTTTTTACAGTAAGATGCCCAAATTTTTATTTGAGACTCGCCGAACGGCATTGAATTCACAGATAAAAAAGATGTGGGTTCAACTTTCATTTTGGAACAATTTTTCAAGTAAGGGAAGGGAATGATCTGAGCATGCAGGAGGACAGACCCATCATAAACCTTTGTCGGCTGTGCTGAAGAGAAAGGTACAGAACCACATTATTTAATTAATTAGCTGCACGTTCTCCTGTCCTCTGTCCTCCGGGCCACACACACACACACACACACACACACACACACACACACACACACACACACACACACACACACACACACACACACACACACACACACACACACACACACACACACACACACGGGACTGTCTCAGCTGTTATTTTCGTTAAGGAGTGTGCACGTACAGCATGCGCGCCTCGTGCACGAGCCTACTATTGAAGCTGCCGTTACACTTTTGGCCTGAGGGGGCGATCGCGAGCATAAAAATTCAAAAGTCCGTAAAGTCCCTTTAACTAAGAATCATCTTCTGGAACCGTGGGTGTGATGTTTTGGGTGTTCTAACATTTGAATCAAAGTTCGCTTCTGACTGCAACTGAGTCAAAACAACAACTTTAAATTATTCCATTTGGAAGTCGAACCGCTGACCTCTGCGCTACAAGCCATCCACTTGTGTTGCACAGTGGAGTTCATTTGCATAGCATTTTTCATTGCAGGACATGAAACCACAACCTGTTATTCAACATGTGAGCGTAGCAATCGACAGAGCTGAAGTTGTGTTATGAATGGAGGCCGTGTGTGACCATCTTTGCAGCTCATCTCTTGTTGGGGATTGGTTCGTGTGCAAGAAGACAAGGTTTTAGTTTCCGACTAGAATGCTCCTCGTGATGGAGAATAGTTTCACAGCTCAGATGGAAAACTGATTGTTTCTGAAACAAGTTAAAGTTTGAATAAAATAAAATAAGTTGTAACTAGATAACCTGAAGAGAGCCAAAGCAGTGACTGCCCAAAATAACATCACCAACTTTGAAGCTGTCTAGACAAAATCCCTTTGCTTTAATGCACACACTGTGTTAAGACGTGGAAATATAAGCAAGATTAAAAGAAATGTTAATGCTGCTGCTGGTAGCTCATCAAGGTGACCGTGGTAACCACAATCTTGTGTCTCATACTCCCCGACGGCAAACAAAATAAAAAATTGAGACAGACGTAGACTAGAGCTTAAAAAGTTTCTGCTAATGAAAAAACGATTTCTTTACTTTTATTTTGAAGAGAATATAAAAAGTTAAATTTAATGGAAGTCAGTGGTAATATATGCATTCTTCCTCTCCTCATCAGTTTCCTTGTTTTTAAATTCTTCCAAACAAAAGAATAATACTTTGGATTTCAGTTGCAGTTTTCATCACATCAGGATTTTTCTATTTATCTGTTCCCTTCTTGAATAAAGTCATGGGGTTTATTGTCTTTATCAGCAAAGGTAGATACTAAAATCCCTTTCATGTGTGACACAGAACAGCTCATTAAATAAAATAAAAAAAAATCTGGCCTTCATACATTTCCATAAAAGATGTTTATTTAGAAAATTTTCTTTTTTAAATTTTTTTTACTGTTTACCTGGTTTCAGTACTTTTGTGTTTTATAATAAATAAACTCTTGTGGCCTTTTTCTATTTTGCTTTCAGTGGTGGGTTCAAATCTTCTCACAGTGAGGAGCTGCTGCTTGGAAACAGGAAACGCTGAAAGGTGTTTGGCACATCTCCCCGCAGCATCAGGGAACATTGTCAGATGTGTACCCAGCACATGAAGCCCCTTGCCCGGCCGTGGGGATGGCAGCCTCTGCCTTGAACTTGAACAGCCTCGGAGTCATGAACAGGTACAAGGCTGCCTGTGTTTTAACAGGAAAAAGTCTTATTTTAGATGTTTTTCTATGCTTTTAGACCAGACTGGTCAGATCGGGTTACATCCCCAATGCATTAAAGACTAATTCATGTTCCCAAACTGAAATTTTCATTTTGATTGTATCTGAAGGTTTAAAAGTTGCTAAACAAGAACTGCACTCTTAGATTTATTCTAAATCTTAGTGGTGACCTTTTTTAAGGTGTGACATTTGACGTGTCAGTGAAGTTAGATGATAGCTAATGTGTAATCAGCTAGTTAAAGAATGGTTGCTCTCCTCTCTGCAGCAGTAACCAGTTCCAGCCCGGATCCTCCAGTACCGCCTCTCGAACCAAATCCAGTCCAGTTGCCCGACCTGTGCTGCCAGTCCCGGATCGGAGCACCTACTGTCCTTTACTGGGAGGAAGTCTCTACAGCCCAACAAGTCCCAAGGTATCCAAGGAACCACATCCAGCCTGACAAGAACTCTGTAAACACCTCTGATGTTTCTGCTGCTTGAACTACTGTTTCAGGCCTTACTTTGATTTTGTGTTTTCCTTTTAGGGCCATAGTGGCCTAAAGAAAGGTACAAAACAGGGAAAAATTATAGAAACAAATACAAATAATGTGTTTTGTTTGTATTTTCATATTTGTAGGGATTTAAAATTGAAATAAAGTTCAGTATTACTAAAATACTTGCTTGAACTTGGGATTATAGATAGGGATGCACCAATACCGATACCAGTATCGATATCTGTGAACGTTAACCGATACGATACTGGTATCGGCACAGATACCGAAACCAGTATCTGATAGCGATCCCAGTATCGATATCTGTAAACGTTAGCCGGTACCGATACCAATATCGATATCTGTAACCGTTAACTGATACCGATATCGATACCTGTGAGCGTTGACCGATACCGATACTGTTGCTGGTACCAGTGTCGTATCGGTGACCAATTCTGATACCGATTCCAGTATCGGTAAACGTTAACCGATACCAGGAACCGATACCAATGCAGCTGCTTGAAAATGGCTTCACTGTAACTTTTTCATTACTGTTCACCTAATATTTTAGTTTTGTGATGATTTCTATTCATATATTTTACTTTTTATCTACCTCACAGTCTCTTCCTGTTGAAAGCAGAGAAGAAAATAAAATCTGTATTCAAGTCATTGCATTTTTTTGTGTGGTAGAAGTATCGGCATCGGTAATCGGTATCGACGAGTACGCAGATCCAAGTATCGGTATCGTATCGGTTTGGAAAAAGGGGTATCGTTGCATCCCTAATTGTAGATGCATAATGGATGGAATGCTATGATTTATGAATTTTATGTAGGACATTTAAAAATATAGTAATATAATATATATAATATACTCAAATCTAACATAAATAAGGTCTTCTAATTGTACAAAATGACTCTAAAAACCTGAAGCTTATCTCCTAACTTGTATAAATCAGCTCTTTATCCATACAAATAAACGATTTATGCTCCAACACTGTTTGTCTTCTCAGACAAGTCCCCGATCTCCGGGCCAAGCGTTCGTCTTCCCTGCTCCAACTCTGCTCCCTCCCAACGCCACCGCTCGTCCTCGCTCCCCGTCCCCGCGAAGCCCGGAGCGCCTAGGTGTAAATGTGGGCCAGCGAATACGACGCCTGAGCGGTGAAGAGCGAGGGGAGGGAGACGGGCAGGAGGAGACGGGAGGAGAGACAAGGGGAGGGGAAAGGCGAGAGGAGAAAAGACGACAGGCACAGATGCTGCAGATCCACAGGGAGCTGCAGAACGTCGAGGTGAGTTCTTACTCCTTCAACCCTTTTATACCCAGTAAAGAAAACACGAGACAGCGTCGGACGTTTGAGATGTTGGGCAGAAGTTTAGCCTTAGCATGCTGCCGAAGCAGCAACACAGGTTTAGGTGGACGCGTAAGTTAAAACACATGCTGCCCAAACCAGCTAGGAGGAGGCCGGGTGATATTTAAAACTCGCCTACTTTTATTTTTTGTTTCTGTCAGAAAGAAGGTAGACTTTTTTTATGCATCGTACATGAAAATTGCAGCTTGTTGCACGAGAAAAATAAAAATGTTTGCTCTTAGATCATGTTTTAAAACAGTTTGTTTAACCCTCCGGGGTCCATGGACGCGTATCCGCGTCTTCTGAACAGGTCTGATTTGGGACGCTGTAGCAGCAAGACTCCGCCTCCCCGAGCTTCGGTTTCAGTTCAGCTTTAAAAAGGAGATTATAAACTCCACCCCAGTTTTTAAATGTTGTTAATAGGCAACGTAAAAGCGGAGTTATACTAAACTAAAAAAACGACCTATTTTTAGACAACCTGACAACTTGTCAAAACAGCAGTTTAGTAATCCGTGAGAGGGAACGTGCTTGGGAACATAAAAACCCCACAAAAACATGAGATCCTTTTGCTGTTGGTGGAAGTCTCACACATTCAGCTGATAAAAAGCATCATTATGTAGCTGAGAGAGAGAGGAAGGCCGCACGAGTAACGAGATGTGCGCAAAAAGGAGCCGCTTGGCGGGGAAAGGAGTGGCGCGAACGGAGTAACAACAAACAATTAGACAGATATTGATGGTAAACGTCATATTTTGGAGCGATCCGGACAGATATATTGTCTCTGCAGTTTAGTAGGCTTTTATTAGGCTTTAATAAAGGATGAGAGAAGGATAAATGTCCACCAGGCAGTTCAGATAGTACGGCTGTTTTTTGAACTGGAAGCAGAGGAAGTGGACGGAGACTCGCAGCCGGAGTCTGAGACAAATAGCGAGGATGTTGATGACGATGTGGCAGATCCATCCTTCTTCATAGAAGAGTTGGGTCATGATGAGGTGGAGGATGAAGGCAGAGATGCAGCTCCTCGGAGATCCAACAAGAGGAGCGGGCGGCCCACGCAGCTGTCAGATCTCGGCGTGAGACAGAGCCACTCCCCACTCCAAAATGCATGTACCTTATTGCCAAATTAATAAAATAAGTATAAATACAGATAGTCCAGGTTGTCCTGAAAAAATGATACCCCTTAAGGCAATATTTGTTGTTTTTATTAGAAAAAACAAAAGAAAAACCAAAAGGAGTCAAAAACGGTGATTTACACCCTGGACCCCAGAGGGCTAATAATTTTTTTTAAACATTTGTTATTTACTATATTTATTCATATTTTTTATAAATGTACAGTCTAGATTACCATTATAAATTATAAAAAACGTTTGTCATAAATGTTTGTTGGTTTCACAGTAAAATAAACAACTTTTTTCCAATTCGGATTTTATGTTTTTGAGCGATTTAATGTCTAATATGCAACCCCTTTATGTCCAAATGTAAAAAAATAAGTATGAATTCATAAAGTCCAGGTTGTGCTGAAAAGATTGATACCATATAAGGCAGTGGTTACGGCTTTTATTTTGGAAATACAAAGGAAAACTCTAAATTAGTCAAAAACGGCAAATTACACCCTGGACCCCAGAGGTTTAATGTCAGATTACAGAAGATGCAGGCCAGGGGTGTATTTTTTTCTTTTCATGTCAACTTCACCTCAGTTGTGGAACTAGACCACCTGTGAAATGATAAATAACCCCAAAAGAAAAAAACATCAAAGTAAACTTTTTCCACAGTTAGACCAAACTGATTTGTAATTAGACCTGTTTTCTGGTTTTCTTCAGGTCAGGGGGAAGGTGGGTATGTTTGAGGCCCACATTTCCGGGAGTCGGCCCCAAGTACCCAACAGTGAGTTCCAGCGCTGCCCGTGGTCCTCCCGTCGAGCAAGTAGCCCAACCTCGTCCCACCTCAACCAAGGAAACACAGATCATGAACACCTAATGACCGATCTACAAGAGACTAAACTTTCTTTTGTTGTCCAAAATGGCAAAGAGGTGGAAGAAAGAATAAGCGAGCAACCAAGGAAAGAACAGCGAGGATGTGAAGGAGAAGAGGATGGCAGCACCACTAAACCCATCATAGATAACGAGACACTGACTGGTCAAAATGGCTTCCTTTTAGAGACCAGAACACAAACTCTGTTGACCGACCGACTGTTCGCTCAAAGTTCAACTAAGTCGTCAGAAAAAGGTGCCGAAAGAGATGAGAAAGTAAAAGAACAGAAACAACCGGAGGGAGACAAAGACAAAGAGGAGGTAGGAAACAGACGAGTGGTGGTAGATGAACGAGAACGGACAGAGAGAGAACCAATGGAGGAGAACGAGGAACCATCGTGTCCTAAAGAGCTGCTTCAGGCAGACGGAAACACGGACAGGACCCCTGAGACCACTGCTTTACCTCAGGAACAGGAGAGTGAGAGCTCCCCATGTCTGCCAGACACCTCTAACCACTCTTCCTCCTTGCCTCCCTCCATCCCTGCTGTCATAGTAACTGACCATGGCTTGGAGAGCCCATCTCAAACTACTGATGGTTCTGGATCAGAACAGGGACGGTCCAGCTCTCCCAGCCGCAGCTCCAGTCCTGCTCCGAGCTCCATTCGGTCTTTGAGGAAGCTGTCCTCCTCTTCCACCTCCTCAGCTGGCTTCTCCTCTTCTTGGGAGGAGTCGGAGGAGGATATTTCCAGTGATACAGAGAAAGGAGAGCATCTTCTCAACCCCGGACTTCTCAGTTCTCAACAGAAAGCAGTGAGTAGATTCGAAATCTAAAGGTTTAATTTGCTCAGCTGGAGAAAAAAGATTATCCTCACACTGCATTCTCAGCTGGGAGTACAAACGCTCACCAGGTGTGGTAAATATGGTTAGAAATGTACAATTGTGTCATTTTATTATATCAAAACTGAATATTGCTTTACCAGCTTGCTTTCACTAGCTAAGCACAAGCCCAATTAACTCCAGGCCTGCAGAATTAGGAAAGCACTTCAATAGAAGTGGTCTGACAACAGCAACAATGCTAAAAGATCTCAAAAAGCCAACATTGTGGCCCGCTGTAAAGAACTAGCAGTTATTTCAGAACCAATAGTCAAACATGGTGGAGGTAGTGTGATGGTCTGGGGTTACTCTCAAATCAAATCAAATCAAATCTACTTTATTTATAAAGCGCTTTCACATGCCCAAAACGGACAAACAAAGCGCTGTACACCAATAACAAATCACAATAAAACAGACATATAACCATTTAAAATACAACAAGAAATCCAGAGTACAAGTTTGCAATCCATATCAGTCCTGTTTCCAGAATCAGATCCAGACACATTCAAAGTGATGCTGCCCACGCAATCCCAACTTCAGTGTCCAAACGCCAACGAGAACAGATGTGTTTCTAGTCGGCTTTTAAAGGTCTCCAGTGATTTGGCCTGCTTTACGTCGGCTGGCAGCTCATTCCAAAGACTTGGTCCGAGCGCCCAAAAGGCACGACTCCCACGAGACTTCAGGCTGTGCCTGGGCACGGTTAGTAGTCTCTGGTCAGCTGACCTAAGGGAAGGCACCGGGACATGTCGGTGGATGATGTCAGAAAGGTATCTAGGTGCCCCTGAGTTTAACGCCTTAAACACAACCAGGATGATCTTAAACCTGATGCGATAGGAGACAGAGAGCCAATGCAAGGCACGTAGGACTGGTGTAATATGTTCAGACCTCCTGGTAGATGTTAACAACCGAGCAGCCGAGTTCTGAACCGCCTGGAGGCGTGCTACTGGAGCTTGCCTAAGCCCCGCATATAGCGAGCTGCAATAATCCAGCCTGCAGCTAACAAAGGCACGGATCACAGTTTCCAAATGACTACGTGACAGAAATGGTTTAATTTTTGCTATACGGCGTAGATGAAAGAAGCAAGATCTCATGATTCCGTTCAAATCTGAGCTCTGCGTCCAACTTTACCCCTAGGTTAGTGACCACCGCCTACTCTGCTGCTTTGGGTCCTGGATGACCTTCTGTAATTGATGGAATGTCTAGAATGTCTGACCTTTGACCTTAAATGAACTGTTAGTGCCTGCAAAGCATCAAATGTTTAATTTTGGTATCATTCTAGCTTTTTTTTAAAGAAGTTGTGGTTCTACGGATCATGTAACCACACAAGCCCCGCCCCCTCGTAGGAATGAGTGTAGTACCGAAAGCATTGTTTCGCCAAACAGGACATGTGCAAACTAAAAACAGGATAAGTCTCGGTTCCAGCATTTATTGGGCATGCTGCTTGTTTAAAGTTGTTACCGATCACATTAAACCTGTGAGTAAACGGGGCGTCACAAATGACGTTTATGGGGATTTTATTTAGATCCGAAAGCCGAAAAGCGTTTCTCTCCTAGAGAGAGTATTGCTTCTTGAGATAAGTGGGCGTGTGTGTGTTTGTGTGAGAGCGTTTGTCATTTTTGAGGTATGCAACGAAGACACCTTTAAAAAAAACCCTCATAACTACTTCCACGTTTTGCTCTTCAACGATTCTGCGGAGATTAAAAAAAACAAAGATGTGTAACATTTGTGACGATTTTACCAATTAGCAGTGTAAACGTAGCTCGTGTAGGGAAATATATCATTCAGGTGTGGCAGGTAAATCAAGCCATGCGTGTAAGAACACAGAGATCCTGTCTAAACTAGTTTTAAAAGCACCTTGTTTGCGCCCGTTGCATTTTCTAGATGCTCCAGAGTTAAGCTGCCCTGAGCCCTCTACCCAAGTTAGTTCACCACAACTCTCACTTTAGTTTATTTATTCATATCAAGTACCAAAGTCGTGTGTTTGTGTGTGTCGGAGAGATAGGGACAGTGTGCGTGGAAGAAAAGAGATCGGCAGAAGACTTTCCCCGCCTCACACACGGACTATTTCTACGCAGTTCATAGACAAGCTTCAGGTTTGTTTGGGTGTGAAGTGTGTGTGTTGGTGTGCGGACGGCAGCTTTTCGTGTGTATCCAAGACGGCCATCTTGCTTTGCATTGAAGCACAACTTGATCGTTTCACTTTTTTATAAACTGACTTTGAAAATGTTGCTTTTCTGTTGAGTTTTTGAATTTTTCGAATGACTTCCTTCAACCTCCAGCTCGCCCAGACGATACACAAGTCATTTGTTTAAATAAGTCCGGCTGACGGATTTGAATAGTGTTTGTGCTGCTCTTTGCATATTTCCATTCATTTTTTTTTATTTTTGTCGTTTTAACAAGACAAAGATGAAAGTCAGAGGCTTCTGCTGCAAGTAGAAAGCACTTTTAAAGATTAAGTACGGACTTCCCCACTTGAAGAAACGTCAAACGTGTCATTTATTTATGTTCTTGTCTGCTACTCTTCATAGTTCCTTATCTGTACTTTAAGGAAACCTGATGTGTGTGTGTGTGTGTGTGTGCAAGAGGCAAACGTGCAGCAACACATAAAGCATGCCTTACTTGTGTGGGAGGTATGTGGGAGCGAGGAGAGGGACAGAGAGAAGAGGAGAGATGCAGCGAGAGAGGAAAAGCATGTGAAAGAGAGAGTTAAGCTAGAAGAGACATTTGTGCAACAATGATAAGGAAGTCATAAAAGTACATTTTAACGGGCATGACACAATCAAAGATGAACCAGGAAACACACAGGACCATCAAGGTGGCAGAATCGTGCAAGGCAATGAAAATTTATTGCGTACCGGCTGGAAAATAAAAGTACGATACCTGTGCAACCACACCAACCACAGTTTACTGCTGCTGTTATCTTTAGAGCTGGATTCTCAGGTTAAATAAGTCATTTTTGCCACTCGCTCGATATAACTTTGTTATGCTATTGTCTTCTGAATTATAGTAACGCATTTTTAACTCGTAGACGCTGGAGTTCGAGCAGAGCCATATATAGACACTTTGGTGGATCTCATCACTGTTGGGCAGCTTTCCAAGACTGGAAGGCACATCCGCGTGTGTTGGCATTTTCTTCTCCTTCAGTCGCTTGTAGTAAAAGGAAACCTGTTTCAGATTAGCAGCTGTGAGACCTGTCAGGTTTCTGTTGAACCCCGAGGACAAATAAGTAAAGCTTTTGTCCGAAAATAAAAGCAAACCCAAAAACAGGTATTGGTGTAATTTTTCCTTTAAAGGTGTCGTTTACTAATTATTTCAATAAATCTGCCGTGGTCTCTAATATGAATGAATTGAGACGTTTTCTGTTGGGGAAAATAATCTCCGGTTCTACTGTTTCAGGGGTTAGAAGCTAGTTGGAAGAGTGGGGGAGTCTTAAGCTTGGTTTATGCTCGACGCGTTTACTTTCTGCTTGGTGATGCGGCTCGCGGACGGAACGCGCTTCACAACTCGCAGCGTTTGTGGTTCGTGCGGCTCGTCTCTGCGGAGAGCCAATATTCTCCCAAACTGTAGGGGGCAGCATGGAGCTCTACAGCATGCATCCAACACTACACCATAGTAGAAGTAGAAATTACTGTTTACAACATGGCATTTCAGCATTTTTATCAGCGTCCTCGTCTTTTCCGACAGTGCGAGCTATTTCTCTCCAAGAATTATTAACAACATGTTGATCATGGTGATCTCTGAGAGCTGAATCATACAAATGTCTGTATTTACAAACCTCTGCCATACTAGTTCTTGCCGGTCCGCCATGTTTTTCCGCGTCCGACCGTCCGCGTGGTTAGAAATTTTCCTAGGTGCGAGTTGCGGAAATTTTGGGCCGTGTGGAGACGCGGTGGAGGGGCGTGGTTGTTAAAATGACGCAATTTCGCCGCGCGGACCTCGCGGATGCGTCAAGCATAAACCAACCTTTACTCGTTAATACTCTTCATGCAAACATCTCACCTCTGATTGGCTAAAAAGCAGCGCAACTTTTCTGAATCCTTCAGTCGTTCTTTCTTGGATAAAACACGCAATGTTGATGTTTTATCTCCACAATAGTGATGGGAATTCTGGCTCTTTTTAGAGAGCCGGTTCTTTTGGCTCAGCTCACCAAAAAGAGCCGGCTCTTTCGGCTCCCAAGTGGCTTCTCAGATTTTCTGTTGCGTAGAGTACATTTATAAGCAAAATAATGCAAAACTATATGTAAAATGATTTGCTAGTGTAAAAAAAATTCAAGACGTCAAATATTTATTATTTCTATGGATTTAATAACTGAACACTTTTAAGAAATTTCCGCTTTCCGACTGCTGGCACTCATTTTCTCACCGTCTTCGTCACACTTTTCTCTCTCTCACTCGCCTTTTTCCTCCTCCTCATTCCCTCTCGTCTCCCTCCACCCGCATGTGCTCTGCTGTGTGTCTGAGTCTGATCCTCCATCTGCCCCGCCCCTACTGCTCTGTGTGCGAACAGCCCGGACACGCAGTTACACATGTTGACTAATCGCCTGTAGTTTTCACCAAGGCAGGGGGGGAGGGGGGAGGGGAGGGGACGGCTCCCAATGACGAGCCGGCTCCCGTCGTTCACCTCAAAGAGCCGGCTTTTAGAGCCGGTTCGTTCGCGACCGACACATCACCATTCCACAAATAACACAAACCTGAACGTGTTCTGCCACGTTGTGGAGTTGCTAATGCTAATGGTTAGCTTTACGAGCCGAATTGTGCTCTGCCCTCTCAACAATGCTCTAATATAACTATAATTATTTTTCAGATATTAACGAATGAAGAACAAAAAATATAGTGTTTTTCTCTCATTTATCTAAAAACTTTAGCCAATCACACGGCTCGGACTGAAACCAAAGATCGGACCATCCTGTTGCATTTAACCGCGTCATTTTTTTCACG